TGTCAAGGGCGGGGGAAAAAAAGGAGACATATGTAATACTCTTTGTAATAATTTAAGCAATAAAAAAAAATTATAAAAATAAAATAAAAAATAAAAATGCCAGCTTGAAAAAAAAAAAAAAGTGTGGAGATAGAGGTGCTATTATCACTGCAATGGCAATCATATTACAATGTATAGATGTATCAAATCAATATGTTGTACACTTTAAATTTATACAATATGTCAAGCATATTACAATCAAAAATTAAATAAGTGGATAAATTTTTTAAAAGGCACTGTGGCTTCTGTCTCTCAGATCACTTGCTCTGGGGAAAGCCATGTCATGAGCAGCCACAGGGAGAAGTACTGCAGCTAGAAACAAGCTTTCTGTCCACAACTACGTCAGTGAGCTTGGAACAGATCCTCCAGCCCCAGTCAAGCCTGCAGAAACTAGCACCAGCTGAGCTGACCACTTGACTGAAACCCCATGAGGGACCCTGAGCCGGGCCACCCAACTGGGCTGCTTCCTGACCCTCAGAAACCATGTGAGAGAATAAATGTTTGTCATCTCAGACTGCTAAATTCTGGGGTAATCTGTTAGACAACAATAGACACCTAATATACTATCTTGCTGTCACATCCTCTGTTACTAGGACACCAGAGAGCCGTACTTATTTAGGGCCACCTCAAGACTTTTGTGAGCTAAAGCAGGGATAAATACATAAATTATGTTAAAATGTATTAGAACTTTATCTAAAGTAAATAGTCTTTATAGTTAGAAAGGCTTATAAATCATATTTGCAATAATTTAGGTTTACATATTTTCCCTTTTTTTAGTTTTTATGAATTAACGCAAAAATTTATATTTTATATAAAAGTAAATTAATAAATAAGCAAGCAGGTTTTCCATGAGGAGCAGGGAAGCCTCCTGTTGTTAGGTAGAAAGCTTTATGACATCTCCTGGCTGTTCTTCCTTCTTGCTACCAGTTGTATTACCACTCCTGTAAACTCTGGATAAGGAATGTGCTACTGAAATTAGTAAAAGTAAAATGAGCTTCTTATTCTATTTTAAAAGAGCTTCTTACATTGTTTTAAACATAAAATATATTATGGTGAGTTCCCAATGACCAAGAAAGATAATCACTGGGGATTTGGGAAGAAATACTTCCCATACAGAGCATATTCTCCAAGTGGTCTGTTCTGCAAAGCAATCTTTCTCTAACTCTATACTACTCTTTTGGAAATAAGATTCCTAAAGACTTTTAAAAGTTTGAATAATTTAGCTCTACACTCCAATGAAGTGAGAGGAAAAAGTCTATTACAGAACCAATACTTACCTAAAAATAGCATTATAAGATAAACCTGAAGAAAAAAGGAAAATCTAACGTGGATTTCCATGGGATATGGCAATGTGAAGCTGAATCTCCCTGTTTCATTGAACACGGGGATGGACTGGATCACTGAGACAGCTGAAAGCAGAAACAAGAACTTGTTAGAAGCAAATAAAGCAGTCACATTGAGTGACAGCCCCTTCTAATCCTCCAAGTTTCAGTCACGGATTTGTTGAAATGCTCCCTCCTCCCTTCGCACAGAGGGCTTATGCCTCTTCTTTTTCCCCTCGTTTTCCTAAGAGATGAGCCTCCAAGAAGACAACTGAAGGTGAATGAGGAACAACCATTTGATAACAGTGGGCTTCAGTTTCCCATTCTATAAATGGAGAGAAAAATCCCTACCACTAATTGTTGGTCAGAATAAAATTAAGTCATAAATATGAACCTGCTCTACCCAGTGTGGTGCAGTGGTTGAGCACTGACCTATGAACCAGGATGTCACAGTTTGATGCCTGATCAGGGCACATGCCCAGGTTTCAGGCTCGATCCCCAGTAGGAGGGTGTAGGAGGCAGCTGATCAATGATTCTCTCTCAACATTGGTGTTTCTATCTCTCCCTCAACCTTCTTCTCTAAAATCATTTTAAAAAAAAAGTAAAATAAAAATATGAACCTGCTTTGGAAAATTAAAACTACCATATAAATAGGATGCATGACCACCAGCTTCCAAATGTGCCACATTCCTGGAACAGGAGTATTATGGAAGGAAGCCACTAGGAAGATACTCTTGAAAAGTCCAACATCCATATATTGACTAAGGCAGGCAGAGGAAGGAAGAAAGATCTGGCCTATTGGCTTAGCTATCCCTTGGAGCTAAGCTATAAAACATAGAGTTCCTGAAAGTACCTTCTGCCAAACATCCCAGAGGATATAACGGAATCCACACAGTGTAACGAAGCCATGTGAGCACTTTCCAATCCATGTCAATGCAGCAAAGCATGTAGTAGGGGTACCTATTGAAAAAAAGGAATTCAGATACTGAAAGCCACTTCGGGTTCTGAATGTAACCCTAGAACATCATTCAAACAGAACCATTTCACAATTAGCCACAATTGTGACTAAGGGTAGGTCTCAAAGGAACCCTCTCTGAAATAGTTGAGTATGTGGAATGGTAAGTTTTTTGGGTTTGTTCCTAGTTCTGATCGACATTCCAAGTAGGTAAGGCTGACAGACACATTGACGGCACTTTATCTCCAGATAAACGAATGCTATCAAAATTAAGTATACTTAAGCATACCACCTTTAGCCTCAAATCAGACTTATGGAATATGTATGGTCTGGCAGAGAAGAATACATCTACTTTAATTGGGTTTTTAAAAAATATTATTTTATTGACAACTGAGGATGGAAGAAACAGGTAAGAGGTCAATTTAAACTTCAGAAATCTTGTAGTAAAAGATTCATTTTTATCATCCCTTTTAGAAGGCTAGTCTTCACTAGTTCCATCCAACCTGGATTGCTCCTTCAACCTCAGGTTTTTTCAGCCCTTTCATGAATTTTTCTCTTCCCACCAAGACAGCAAGATACTGAAAGGTAAGATGGGTCTTTTCATTTCTCTGGGTCTCTCCTGCTCCCCAGTGCCCAGGCTGGCACTATGATCCAATGACGGCTTAAAAAAACATTTGCAGAGCACACAGCTGCAGCGACACTCTCCACAGGTGGAACCTTAATCCCAAACCAAATGAGACTCTGGGTAAGACAGCAACTCTCTCAAGAAGAGAGCTGACCCAAGGAAGAAGCATTCAAACACCATCCTAGCATTTCTACCTACCTGAAAATTTCAATTGTGCTCCACATATAAAACACAAAGAAAACCACGGCTTTGTTTTGCATTTCTTCCATAGTGCCAAAGATGATAAACAAAATGAAATTTCTTCCAAAAAGCTATTAAGAGGACCCAAAAGAGAGAAAAAAGTTTAAAAATATATTTTAAAAACCATATACATGGTTATTTGAAACCTAACCCCACTAAATTCAAAGTAAATAAAAAAAGATTGAGCTCAACTGGTTTAATCCTCTGCTCCAGTTTCGGAACAAGTTAAATGTCCAAACCAGTCTTTCTGGATAAGTGAGTATGTGTGTGTGTGTAAATGTATGTGTGTGTGTGTGTGTGTGTGTGTGTGTGTGTGTGTGAAAATACACAAACAGTTTAAAGGATACTGACCAATGAACATTTATGTCTGCATAACCCAAGTTAAGAACTAGAACATTACCGGTATGGCATTCCCTCTCCCGCCCCCGTAAGTAACTACTATCTGTGTTAACCATTCCACTGTTTTTCTTTATAGGCTCACTACTTATGTATATATTCCTATGCAGTATACTGTTTCACTTTGCCTGTTCTTTAATGTGCTGAAATTATGCTACATGTATTATTCTGTAACTTACTTCATCCACATAGAATCATGTGGCACTGCCCAGCTCCTGTAACTTACTTCATCCACATAGAATCATGTGGCACTGCCCAGCTCCCGGAGGCTTCATTCACACTGTATCCTATGTGAATGGAACCTGCTGGACCTATGCAATGGGATACTGAACCTGTCCCATCCATCTTGCCCTAGAAATTCTGCCCTAATGCTCATCTGTACTAGTCACTGATATACAAAAAATATGATTCCATATTAGTAAGTCAATCACTATCCCCTTTTCATTTTTTAAACTAAACCAAGCAGACCCTTTACCATGCAACGGATACTATTAGCATGCCAGAGTTGGTACACCACAAAAGGGTAGAATTATAAAAACTACTCCAGAAAAAAACTAACCAATAACCTGGTCCCCCGTGTCTGGGTAGGTGGTATTTAATGGTACGTGATTGCACAGTTAGGAAACCGAAAGGAGGATGAAAGGCTTTGCTGCTCCATTCCTGGTAACAATCTTCCAAATATTGGAAATTACATAGATGTATTAGGGGGAGAGATCCCCACACAAGTGAGAAGAGCCACCCTCATATATGAAAGAAAGTCCAAAGTAAAAAGAGTTCCGAGGTATCATATTGCCTTTTTCACCCAAGGTGGGAGGAGACCAAGCATGTCTCTATCTAAGAAGATTGAGGGTAGGATTTTCTGCTCCTGCCTGAAAAATCAAGTTTCCCTTGTTTTACAGCTCTTTGTATAACTGTGACTTCATGAAGATGTTATAATGAAATCGACCTGAAATGGCAAAAGTTTACTTTGGAAAATATTCCTGAGGCTTAAATTTTTCCTCCTTGTTCAGATAAAACAATGCTTTCCTATGCCAATAGGTATTTTTACTAATTGAAACTTCTCAGAAAATTGTGGCATAACTACTAAATAAACACTGAACTCTTTCATTCCCCACCCTTGAGATCAACTATTTAATACCTGGATAACAGAAGGTATCACTGGTGACTTAGTGACTCCAATTGCTGCATTGATAGACTCCACAACTGCCAACATCTGGCAGAAATACATCATGTCAGCTATGGTGTGAAATGTGTCATAGAAGGACTCTATGGAACAAAAATACATTAAGGGTAAATGAGCTGGCAAATTACAACAGGATTATTTCTCAAACTACATAATGCCTCACATGAAAGGAGTTTTTAAAAAGGTATAATAAATATCCAGTCAGATTCAAGTTTAATAACCAACTACGCTGAAAGAAAGCAGGCCTGCAGAATCATGGAAGTCAACTCTATTGGTTACCACAAAGTTAACACATAAACCTGTATGCACTTCTCATTTTAAAAAGCAAGCGAAAGAAGCATACCTAGACTTCATTCAGTTATTATATCCTGAAAAATCTATGTATCAAGCACAGCCAATAATTCTTTTCAGCTCCATTATCTAATTTAATTTAAAGCTAAAACTATATCTCATTAAATGCAATCTAACATTCTAAAATCTCAAAAACTGTATAATCATAAATAGAAGTACAAGAATATTGAATAAAATTAACTTTCAAAAACCTTAATTGTGCTTATATATTTAATCCTAATTATTCTTATTCTGAGAATCTAGCCTAACTAAAAAAAAGTCTAAAATGAAGAAGAAGAAAAAACTTTAGAAACAAGGTTGCTCTCTGAAACATTTCTAAGTACATTAAAGTAGAAACTGTCTACATGTTTAAGGGTATGGGAAGTTTGAGTAAACTATAGTATATTACTTCATGGATGTTATATAATAATTTAAAATAACAGCTATTGCTTATATGAGGTCAGCAAATGTGGTCTCAATTCTGAGTGGTCCATAATATAAAATCCTTTACTTTCCATACTGATCACTGATCTCACCTCACACCCTGCATTCCCACATTCCTCTTTGCAGTGTGTCCCAGCCCGGCCACCCGTGACATTTTGGTGAGGACAACTGTTTGTCCTACACATTGCAGAAAGTTTAGGATTCTTGGCTGCTTATTAAATCCAAGTAGTGCTTCCGAGGATCTGGCAGAGTTAGGACAGCTACCAACAAAGATGACACTGTAGGAGCCTCAAAGGGTATGATTTAAATAATGATGAATAAAAGAGGCCCTTATCAAAACTGAAGAAAAACTCTGAAGTATTTTTGCAGAAATGAATCATTTTACAATCCTGCTGCAAAGTCAAATGTGAAATGAAAATGGTATATATTGCTGATACATAATTTTACCAGAAAAATTCCATCAATATGCAGTTCAAAATCTGACTAATTATTTTCTTTGAAAAAAATTAATGCAAAATTACAATTTATTTTATTTTATTTTTTTTTCTATGTAGGAGAAATATACTACTACTCAACCTCTACTGTAAGGTTGGCAGCCCTGAGAACTCCTTTTATGTAGCATGTTATGGAGGTATTCCTGCTCCCAAAGGAATAAGGAACAGACATATTTCCACATGCAAGCAAAATTACAATTTAAATTTTGCTATATATAAAATAAATTTTTTTCATAATATTAAATGCCCCTTTTTCAAGACAAAATCCCATCAAATCCTTTTGTCACATTTACAATTAAAATTCTGGTATCATTGAGAAGGGGATTCACTTTAAGTGGCCTTTATTAAATGAGGACCCCTCATACTTAGAAAGTTGTGACTTAAGACTTGGCATATGGTAAACAAAAATTAGATCTTCTGGGCTTTGCCTCCGATTTTATGGGAAATTGATCCTTGTTTCAATTCAGGAATAGAAATCTGATTTCTAAAATGATAGTTACAAAGAATATTAGTAACATTAAAATGCTTATAATATTGTTTTTAAAAACAAGATGCAAAATTGTATATACAAACATTATGATGATTATTTTTAACTGTAGGAGGAAAAATGACTAAAAGGCAGTGTATGGGAATATTAATAGTGATAGACAATGGCTTATTAACCTCCCCTTCCTTCTCCTACACCTTTACCCCTGTTTTCCCCCATTTTACAAGCTTTTTAAAATCAGCACATTTAATTTTATAATTTGAAAAAAAATTTTCTTGAAAATAGGAAAAGGCACTCATATGTGAATGGAATATGGATTTAAACAGTGGTAATATAAAATAGTATATACTCTTTCTGGGCATTATACATCAAAATCCCTAAAAACAATTTGTCCTTTAATCTCACAATTCCACTTTAGGAACTGTTCCCAAGAAAGCTTTGTGGGAAAGGTGACAAGAACCAACGAGCCAAGAATCTGCTGCTCTCATAGTTGGGATTATGGTAGAGTTTTTGTTTTAAGTCTTTATTTTCTGATTTCTTCTGTAATTAACACATTTTTACAATTAAAAAAAATTAAAAATTGATTTAATAAAAAAGTATTACTTAATAGAGAGCTAGGCAAGCTCACACAAGAGTTTCGACATAAGCCCAAGTGAATACTGCTGTTTCCTTAGCACATGAAGGTTAGCAAATACATGATTACATGAAAAAACAAGTGCATGTGTGGAATCTGCCATTCACCAACATCCTTTATTCAAAAGGAGAACATTGCAAAAGCAAGCTAGGACGCTGGGTGCTAGGCCCAACTCTTCTCTGAGAACTGATAAGGGAAGAATTAAACCAGCAGGTGGTTAGGAAGAGGCTCGGAGCCAAAACAGAAATTACAAATCCATGCAGCTTACTTTAACACATGACCCAGATACTTAGCAGCTTTTGAACTGCATCAGGCCAGCAGGCTTGCACAGCAACACTCAGAATCAACCCAACTATGTTGGTTTAAACTGTGATTTGCAGAATTCCAAGGTGTTAAGAAGGCTGGAAAAACATGCACTTCTCTCAAATGACTCTAGACCCAACTACAATGCATCTTATACAAACCTCAGATGAAAAAATTTAGGAGTGAAGAAGAAAACAGTTGACAGGAGTTTTTTCTCTCTTTAAATAGAGTTTATATTTTTCCATTGTACTTCTTTTTATACTCCTATTTATTTTACAAAATGAAGAAATTTTTTAAATTATCCACATTCAAATCATTTGAAAATGGTGTATTTCCTCCCAATCTTTTTGGTGTATTGGTTCATTTTCACCTTTTTATATGGGTGTGAACTAATTGGAAGAGTAAATTTGTTATTTATTTAGCCTGTTATCAGTATTTTTACATGTTATTACAAACTCTTCAAATACTTTATATTTGTTTCACAACATTCCACTGAGGGAATATTCTAAACCAATTCCTCACTGCACATTTAGGTAGCTTCTAATCTGTCACTAATATAAATAATGCCATGCTGTCTATCTTTTTGAAAAAGCTTCTCTTGCAGTTTCAGTTCTTTCTTTAGAACAGCGGTTCTCAACCTGTGGGTCGCGACCCCTTTGGGGGTCGAACGACCCTTTCACAGGGGTCACCTAAGACCATCAGAAAACACATATATAATTATATATTGTTTTTGTGATTAATCACTATGCTTTAATTATGTTCAATTTGTAACAATGAAATTGGGGGTCACCACAACATGAGGAACTGTATTAAAGGGTCGCGGCAATAGGAAGGTTGAGAACCACTGCTTTAGAGCATAATTCTAGAAGTGGAATTATCAGGTTCCAAGGATATGAACATGAACAGTTAAGGTTCCTGATTCACTTTGCCAAATAATTTCCCAAGAGTTGTAATTATGTACCTTTACGGTAGCCATTGGTGTGTCTATTTTAGCATATGTCCTCTTGATGTTGGTATCTTTTATAACTTTGCAAAATTGACAATAAAAAAGTCTTATTTCTTCATCATTGCTGTTAAACATTTTTTCTGTATATTAAATTAGTTTCAGTTCCTCTTATGACTTTTGTGTACATACTTTATAGTTTATCTATTCGGTGAAGTTTTCACATATTTAAAGTAATGTGTACAAGTTCTTTATATGTAAATAAATCAATCTTTATTGGTATTTGTTGCAATTTTCCATCACCCTCTATCCCCATGCTGCTAATCTCAATATACTCTTAATCTTTAATGCTTTCTTGGCTGGGGTGTTTTCAGATATACAGGAATTTAGATATTTTATTGTAGTCAAATATATTGACCTTTTCCTTTATGATTCTTTTAACATTTTTAAGCTTAGAAAGGCCTAACATTCCACATGAGGTTTTTGTAAATATTTACTTATATCTTCAATTGTGGTTTAACTTTTTGATAAATAATTCTTAAGTCCTTTGAGCAAATTTATTTTTGTATACAGTGTAAAGGAGAAGAGTCAGAGTCCTTGTTCCCTCATGTGCCCAAACCTAATCAATTTTCCTTGGAAATATTTATCCAATAAAAAGTATTGGATAATATTTCCCTTTCCATTGATTCATGATTCCTTTATCATATATAATTGAGGTATGTATATAATGTAAGAACTATTCCTAGGCCACCTAATCTGCTCTGCTGATTAGTCTGTTCTTACACTAAGACCATACTATTTTAATTATCACTAGTGCCTCAGTGCACGGATTCATGCACATTGAAAGGAAATTAATTAGACGGTGGCCAGAGGGGCAGGACTGGGCGAGAGGGGCCGGACACACCCTGGAGCCAACCTCCCATGGTCCCTCTCCGGCCGGCCTTACCTGGGGTGGCACAGCAGCTCGAAGGGTGTCTGCGGAGTGAGCAGGGTCCCTCCAGCAGGTGAGGTCCCTTGGCCTGGCCTTCAGGGATCTGGCCGAAACCGGCTCTCTGACATCCCCGAGGGTTCCGGATTGAGAGAGGGCAGTTCTCAGGTGATGCACCCCAGAAATGGGCCCCCTCCTCTCTGGTTCCAGGGTGCATCATCCGAGAACCGCCGCTGCCAAGTCACAGCAGCTCGTCAGCTCCTGCGTTGAGCGTCTGCCCCCTGGTGGTCAGTGCATGTCATAGCTACCAGTCCGAGGGTCGGACAATCGCTTAGTCTTTTATATATACAGATTCTTTTATATCAGGTGGAGAAAGTCCTCTCTCATTACCTTTCTTCCCCCAAATTTTATTATCTATTTATTGTTCACAATAAAATTTCATAATACTTTAGATCACATTCTCAAATATTTTCTATTGTCATTTACTTTGCCAGAATTCTATTAAACATGCAAACTAATTTATCAAGAACTAATATCTTTATGATAGTCTTTTCATTCATTTTTAGAACAGTTCAGTTGAGAATCTATTTAGACCTCAAAAGGATGAGATCCCTTTTGGACTTAAATAACTTTGGCATTAGAAGTATCACATTAATTTCTTTAGTTATAAACTATCATGTCGTGAATAGAGAAAGGGATGGTAGTCCAAGATATGACCCTGGCAAGCTGTGTGGACATGGATCATTTCTTTGGCCATCTCTAAACCTGTTTCCTCACCAGTTAAAGAGAGGGAATATCAGCCTCTTTCAGAGACCATGGGAAATAGAAGATATGAAAATACAATGAAAAGCATGAAGTACTATACAAATATGGGGGTTTAATATTAATACCAAAGGCAAAGAGTATTACCTTTGATGAGTAGTGGGCCAATCTACTAAAAAAAACAAAAACCAGTGTTAAAATTTGGTACTTGCCTTTTCCCAGGATAAAGAACCGCACAGTCATGTTGACAAACATCCACGAGAATCCCAAGAATTGCACAAGATTATACATGAACAGGTATCCTTTCTTCAAGTTTATAAGAGCTGGAAAGCAAAGCAAGGCAGTAAACTGTTACAAGCAGACAGCAGGAGAGGGGTATGTAGGGCACCCTATAGTAACTTCATCCCTCTTTCCTACTGGGGTGCTCTAAGCTCCCACACAAATACCTGGCCCAGGCCTGCACCAGCCTGGCTCCTGGTCCCACAGACAAACAGAAAGAAAAATATGAGGAACACTGCACTCCAAGATATGTTTTCAGCAGTCTTTCCCCTCAGAGCCTTGAGCATAAATATACAGACATAACAAATCCAAGAAGAGAATATATCTTAGGAGGCATTAAAGGAAGGGAGGAAAGCTATACTCAACTCCTATTCTTGTTATCTTAATATAACCTATAGTTACTTCTTTTCTGGAATTTTTTAAGGTCATGGAGGTCAAACTAGCTCAAAGAGAGAGAATGAATAATAAAAAAAATTCTGATATTTGATCATATATTCATTCAACCAAACATTAACTGAACACCTACAATGTCCAAGGTATGGAGGGGCACTACTGAGATTCAAAGAACTTACCATCTAAAACCATAATACAAGATAGAATGACAGGTAACATCTTGTGAAAATTTCAAGGTGAGAAAATGACATTAGGCTGGGAAATGGGAATCAAGCAAGTATCTGATCTGGGCTTTGGAGAATGGGTAGAATGAGGATATAACCAAAGGAGGAAAATTACAATCTGAGAGGCAAGAGAGTAAGGGACATTAATTTTGTCTGCAGCCTAAGGTTTGTGAAACAGCTAATTACAGACTTAAGGAAGGAGTGAGAAACTTAGGGTCATGGTTGAGTCAAAAGAGTAGGGCAAAGGAAAGGCTTCTCAAGAGAAGAGCTATGGAGTGCAGGTTCTGCTGCCACAAATGTACTCCTAGACTACAGACATTCTGCAGACACACTTGGATGATGCTCCAAGCAAAAGCAACCGTATTCTAATGGGTCAAAAAAGCTAGACAAATTAAAATTTTTTCTTCAAAACTATAAAAGTTTATTATACTTCCCAATCATAAAAAACTTCTTTCATTAGGAACCTTTACGAATTTAATAAAACTGTTAAAGTTTTATCTAACATTCTAAAAATCAATATATAAGTTTTTCATATATTTTTGAAATTTATCCCTCTAAACACAAAAAATTAATTTAAATCTCACGTGGCCTTTTATGTTGCTATTCTTTATCTCCACTAATTGTCTCCCCTCCTTTGCTTTTCTAAGGGAATATTTCTCTAAATTAGTAGTTATTCAAATCTTTTTTTTTTAGAGCAATGAAATCTTCTTTTCAAGAGAAACTTTATTAACAATGCCATGAAACACAAAAGCACAATTGCTTTGACTAAAGTGGAAATGCTTGGTTGGCCTATCCCTCCAAAGCATCTCTGGGAACCCTGGGGTACCATGAAACATAGTTTGAAAACCACTGCTCTACAACTTTCCACTCCCTTATTATAGCATGCCAAATATGCACCACTAAAACTTGAAAAAGTGTGAACAAATGAGGAACTCTTATCTTATTCGGTTTTTCAGCATTAGTTTTAACTTAGAGACTTTCATAGTCCTCCCTCTAGAATGCAAGCTCAGAGCACAGGTGCTATGATGAATTCCTTGACTCCACACCTCAGGGGACTAGTATAATGCTTTCAGTGCCACAAGAATTGAATAGATAGCTGCTGAACTTAATCTATGTCACCCAGAAGATAATACACTTACAGAACTTAATGCTTGTAAGTGGTTGGACAGACAGAAATAGATATGGATTTTTTTCAAGGTTGACAACCACACTTACCTGTGGCACAGCCCTTAAGATCTCCGTTGGGAGAAAAACACCAGATTGGATGGAGGGTAGCCTTGGACCTCCATCATATTTCCACATGTCCATGCAGTACATGCTGCCATCTGCCATTAGGTCCGTCCAAGAGACTAAGGTTCTTCCATACTATATACCAGATGATGGTAAGATCCAAATAGAAGGGAAACATTACCCAACCAGCTTGGCTCAGTGGTTGAGCGCCAACCTATGAACCAGATCAAGGTTCGATTCCCAGTCAGGGCACATGCCCAGGTTGTGGGCTCAATTCCTAGTGTGGGGAGTACAGGAGGTAGCTGATCAATGATTCTCTCTCATCATTGAGGTTTCTATCTCTCTCTTCCTCTCCCTTCCTCTCTGAAATCAATAAAAAAAAATTTTTTTTAAGGGAAACATTAAAAGTAAGGCTTCTAATGTGGATGTGCACAGCATAAGCACTGGACATTAAGGACTGCTCATCCACTCACCTACACAATATTAGCTCTCCTACCACATCACACTCAACCATACCCCCATCTCTATCACAAATTAAATGGTAACTACCATAGCAGCAGGGGCAACTTACTTTCAGGGGAGCCTTGGCTTTCCATTCTGAGTTTATTTAGGCGTTCTTCTTCCTGGAATTTGGACAGAAGTTTTCAAGAAGAAAAGTTAGAATTCCCAGGTGTTTGCCAAAGTCCACATGTTGGATAAGTGATCTGACTCCCTGAAAGCCTCTTCCAATTGTGCTCATACTTCATTGGGGAAAATGTCCTAGCTCAGGGTGCCAAAAAGCCTGACTCCTCCTCCTTACTGAGTAGCATTAACATCACAGAATGCCCATCTAGTGCTCACAGAACTGAGCCAATCAGCTGGCTTCTAATCTATACAGTGGGTAGTCTTCACATCTTAGAGCTGGAGAGACATTCAGATTTGTCTTGGTCATAGAAACAAACAGAAATTTAAGGCAGACAATAGACTGCTATTTTATTTTCTAACACCTCTAGATTTTTAGTATCATTTTCCAGAATCTAAAACCTGTCTCCACATCATATGAATTCATATTAGGTTAATATATAGGTGGTTACATATAGAAATATCTATGGATAGATGTATATGCATAGGCTAGTATGCACACACATAGTTCGTTGTTCAGTCAGCTGAGAGGACCAAGAAGCGATGATAGCCCAGCAGCAACAAGCATACCAAAGCCCAGAGCTTGGTTTCCACTACCATTCTCCACTAAAAAGAACAGAGCTGCCCTAACCGGTTTGGCTCAGTGGATAGAGTCAGCCTGCAGACTCAAGGGTCCCAGGTTCGATTCCGGTCAAGGGCATGTACCTTGGTTGCGGGCACATCCCCAGTAGCGGGTGTGCAAGAGGCAGCTGATCGATGTTTCTCTCTCATCAATGTTTCTAACTCTCTATCCCTCTCCCTTCCTCTCTGTAAAAAAATCAATAAAATATATTAAAAATAAATAAATAAATAATAATAAAAAAAAGAACAGAGCTCCTTGAAGAATGGCTGATTCTAGGGCTGAGCAGGGAACATACAAGATAAGCCAGGAGCAGCTTACAGTGCCAGAAATTAAAGAAGTACACACACACAAAAAGAAAGAAGAAAGCCCCATAGTGATGGAGCTATGAGCTCTGTCAAAGGGACACAAGACCCAACTGAAAGACTTCTATTGACCAAACCTGAAACAGTCTGAGCAACAAAATGAATAACATTGTCTGAATTATAACCCAAACTATAAAATAAGTATTAATGAGTCTACTGACATTTTTAAATGACTGAATAAATAAGTGGGAGAGAATAATCTCTAACACAGAATAATTTCAAATAAAATATGTAGATACTCCACCCTGAAGATGGGAAGCATCACTCCCCACTCCTTAAGTGTGGGCTATGCATAGTAACTTCCTTCCGAAGAGTACAGTAAGGAGAGGGGAGGAAGTAACATTACAATGAAGAGACCTGACAAACATTACCTCAGCCACATGAGCAAGATCAATATCAACAGTGATAAGTCATGTTGATAGTATGTACCCATGATATGGCATGATCTGTGGTCTTCCTCCCCAAAACCAATCATGAAAAACACACCAAGGAACAGTCTACAAAATATATGACCAGTACTTCTATAAAACCATGTCTTCAGGTCATTAACTTAATGTCTAACTTCGTATTTATTCTATCAGACCCTGGTAAGTATCTGAGGTGGCCCAAATAACTTGGTCTCCTCACGATTTCTGTCGAGGTCCTAGGGTCCTTACTGACCTTGGCTCGGAGCTCCATTTCCGCATCAGACTCGTCCAGCCAGCGATCAAAGTCAGGGGCCAAAAACAGTGGGCGCTTCTCCTGCTTGGTGAGTCTCTCCCACCACTGGCTCACCTTCTTCTGCACCGTAATGTTTACCTGCCTCTGGGTCAGTTTGTAAACCGGCTAAGAGAGAAAATGAGAATGTGAGAATGCTCTCTCCTTCCTACCCCCTCTTCTTCCTCTGACACTGCCCCAAGCCAGGGTGACTATACAGAGAACTAAAGAGTAGGCTTACTCCCCTTCCTTCTCTGTTCCTACACATCCTGATGCAAAGAGAACATCTACACCACGAGCTGGTATCGGGAAAATCTGCTCAGAACAGCACTGTCTTTATGATTCACCCAATGAATGACACAGGAGGAGATCAGGATAAGAAAGGCAGAGAGTTCCTGGTTTTATTAGAAGAAACTAAATGAACCTCCTGCCAGGTCTACAGCATGCAGGGCACTTCATCCAATCACTCTTTCAAGTGCATCCTCACCTTCCAAATCTTCCTCCCATGAAGACGGTCCTGGCATAGAGTCCTTATCCAATCTGGCGTTTTCCAGCTCTGATACTCTGTTTTTTAACAATGACAGAGGAGGAGTATGGTACCCATAGAGAGCAGTACGGAGGGCAAGTGAAGCCTTTAGAAAGGTCTAATCAAGGCTAGAACTGTACTGGGTCAGATACAACTTTTTCACATGGGTCAGCCTGGGGAGTCTCCCCAACTAAACTCAAATTCTTAGTGGCTGTTGCAGTTCATTATTCTACATGTCTTCCCCCTTTGCCTCTAAAGCAAGACCCATGACAAGTGCTCCACTCCTTAAATCACTGCTGTCTATTAGGACAACCAAAACAACAGAAACCTGCAGACAGAGAGCAATATGCGCAAACCCTCATAGATAAGAGTGTAATTCCAGAAACTGAAATACACCATGTGCTGGATTCCCTCCCTTCCAGTTACAGAGGCTTCCTCAAGCTCTGAGAGAAGGGAAACTTCAATACACGTCCAGCATTCTTTCTAAAGATCAACTGCCTCGGCATTTTCTGATTTCTGCTGCCCCTCAGGCAAAGTCACAGGAAAGCAGCGCCTGTGTGGGCTTCACCTGCCCTCCGTACTGCTCTCTATGGCTACCATACTCCTCCTCTGTCATCGTTAAAAAACAGAATATCAGAGCTGGAAAACACCAGATTGGATAAGAGACCATGATCCAATTCTTCATTTAACACATGAGGAGACAGAACTCAAAAAAGTAAAAGGACTTGTTCAACCACTAATAAGTGGCAGAGCCAGAATCACCTCAGATTCTCCGACTTGCACAATTCCTCTGCAGCTAAAACTATATTCTCCTTTGGTTTTTATCTTCTTTCCCACAACCGTTCCTCCCCATTTCATTTCACTAAATTACTAGTATTTATTTCCTAAAATAGAAAGGAAAGAACATACCTCTGGCTTCACAAGGTCCAAGAACTCCAGGTGAAACTCGTAGACATTATCTCCTTTGGCACCATGTCCTTGAGCTATAAAGAAAGAAATGTGGGTTACTGTGAACTTGAGCAGAGAAAGGCCATCCAAACGCTTAATGCAGTTCTTTCAGAAGTATACAAATGTCAATGGTCCTGCCAAAGAGAGTCGGGGCGTGTGAGAAGAGCTATTCAACAGCTAGATAAGCTGAATCCTGGACAGAAGTTTATTTCCATATGTCCTCTGATGGTCAGCTCCAGAGTAGTTAATTAATCTTCCAACATGGCCCTCATGATGCTCAGTACAGATAATAGGCAGGGAAAAGATTACAGAAAGCAAAGCCAAAGGTATCACATAGATATAAATTTAACTTTCACATGCACTTTGGTGCTGAATCCAGAGCAGAGAAAAATCAGGTGAAGGAAAGTTGCTGGGTGCATGGAAATGCTGCATTGTCTCAGAGAAAGCTCTGAACCTAATACTTTTCAACCAGGGATAGAAAATGGAGAAGGTGACTTCCCTTTAGCACATCCCACATGGAACAAAAAAAGAGAAAAATCATTCTCTCAGCTCAATTCTGAGAGGACAAATGGCACTGGCAGGAAAGCCCTGGGTTGACCTGTGCCTTGGCCTGGCTCCTCTCCCCAGGTCCAGCCACGCCTCAGGGCCAGGGGCTGCTGCACATCACCTCCCCTCTAACTCTCGGGTTTGTCTATCAATTCGGTTCTATTTCTTCATCTGGCCCTATGCAGCATGACCTGCCTAATATTTGCTACAGGTAGCTAATGTTCCCTAAAACCATAAATTCCTTAAGACAGGACAGTCTATAAGTTCCAAGTGGCAAGACGCACTTTTATCACTTTAACTTCTTTGCAAATGTTTAACTCCTAAAATAAACCGGAGCTGCTGCCACCACTGCTCTCATCTTGAAAAGTAGATACAAAAGTCAGGCTGTGATTTCATGCAAGTACATTAAGGCAGATGGAATCTCATGTAAAGCAGAAACACTTCAATGTCCCATTACCCTGCTCACTCACTAACGACATTCCAGGGAACTAGCACAGAAAGCAATTAGGGAAAATTCCACCCCATGGGGTGACAATAACTCCAGACCTACCATCTGAGGCATCGCTGATGAACTGAGGAGAAAGGAGATGGAGGCAGATTCACAGAACTGAGACCGTCAGAGCTAGAAAAGCTTTAGGTAGCATCTAGAATAAGTATTTCTTAAACTGGTCTGTAAGTATAATGTCAGGGAGCCACACAGCCTCATTAAGAAAATTTCTATTTTGTTGTTTCATTATAACCTTAAAAAATAAAAGTAAGCCGAAACCGGTTTGGCTCAGTGGATAGAGCGTCGGCCTGCGGACTGAAGGGTCCCAGGTTCGATTCCAGTCAAGGGCATGTACCTGGGTTGCGGGCACATCCCCAGTGGGAGATGTGCAGGAGGCAGCTGATTGATGTTTCTCTCTCATCGATGTTTCTGGCTCTCTATCTCTCTCCCTTCCTCTCTGTAAAAAAATCAATAAAATATATTTAAAAGTAAATAAATAAATAAAAGTAAAAGGTCAAGTGATGACCACCTTATAGTCATCACAAGTTCAGGGGCTGTGTTCACAGCTGCAATGAAGCCACATACCACTTAAAGGGACCATACCTAACTCCTAACATGCTTTTCAATCTGGGTCTATGGCCCTGGAGGATGCTGAGGACATATTCTCAGATGTTTTGGGTCCTCAAATTTGAGAAACACAACTTATAACCCATACCCCACTTTATAGGTCCAGAGAAGTTAATAGTTGCCTGAGGGAGCAGCAGAATTAATCTCCGTATTTCTAGCCCACGATTGTTTTTTGCCTCTCCAAGGGGAAAGCAGTATTTTAAACAACTTCTTTGACTTCCTTAATCAAGTATTTCAAAACAACCTAGTTTACCTCAAGAATATCAGAGAAAGTGAATAAAACAAGCCTCTTTAACTGTGTAGAGAGCTCATTTGCCCGAATACTGACCTTTGAAATGCAGTACATTTTCAGCGATGCTGATGGCAGGATTCTGTGAAAAGAGACCAAGGATGTGAGAAGGCATTTTAATGAGGAGAAAAATGGAATTAAAACCATCCTTCCCCCTTGGGGACTCAACCTCCTACCCTGTGCCTCCCCAGAGAATATATTTAGTTGTTTATTCACATATCTGCATAGGGTTTCTCTCTGTCTAGCTGTACCCATCTGAGACTGTAGGCTCCTGCAAGAAGGACCCTAAACTGCTCTAACTATGCAGAACAATCAGATACTGAGCCAGTCCATTCTGATGACGGCAAATAGTGCAAGGTGCTACGTGAGGTGTTACAGGGGAATACACAGACCTCTCAGACTCAGTCCCTGAGCTGTGGAGGCAGAGAATCTAGTGGAACAGATGAGTCATTTCCTGTGAGAAGATATCAAATAGTATCAAATAACATACGCTCAAGACCCAAAGAGTAGTAAAAGCAGTAATTGTACAGTTAAGTCGGCAAGCACAATGGGAACAAAATGGTTGGGGAAAGCTTCACCAAATTTAAGGCCTATATTGTAACATGAAGAATAAATTAATTCAATAAGAGAGGGATTGAGTGGTTGGATGAAAATGAAACATGCAAGTGCGGTCACCTGAGGCTCCACATTCTCTGAACCCCCATCCCAAGGAAGACTAGAAGAGATCAGACATCGGAATTCTCCAAATTGTTCCTTTATTCCCAGAAATTGCTACATGTCTTTAGCAGCATAATTTAAAATGAAACTATTTAACACTTTTCCCAGTAAATGAAAAACAACCCACCTCCTACCTCTCAGCTCAAAGTTAATAAGCAAGAAGCACATTTTGCAGTGCCCTCACTAGTTTATTTATTTTCCTCCTGCAGGCTCAGCTCTCTGCGCTCTATCGTGCATCAAAGGAAACCAACAAGACAGACAGAAGGTTTTGAGAGGCAGTGGGAGCCTAGACTCTCTATTCATAGCCAAGAATGTTGGGAAAAGGGGAATAGCGAAGGCTTGGGGTGGGGATAGCATTTGAGCCAAACTTTATATTAAGAACCTCCCCAGTGGGAGTACAGATTTCAGGCTGAGCTTGATGATCTCTGTAGCAGGAAGAGGGAGTTAGAGTTAGGAAGCCTAATTTAAAAAAAAAAGGGGGGGGGGCTACACGTCCAGGGGCATGGTTCCTCTGCAAGGGAAAAGGGGTTTTGATGTAAATATCCTGAAGGCTAGAGTTCTGGGATGTCTTGGAAGTACGTTTCCTACCTAGGTCACTTCTTGCCCAACTCTGTTCCCCATACCCTAACTCATACAGAAGGAAAATAGAGTTTTAGGGGCCCAGTTTACTCTCCTCAGACAGACGGATGTGTGTAAAGGTCTAAGTAGCTAGCCACAGCCCAAGTCCAGGAGCTCATTAAGCATTTTTGTGGGCCAGATTTCAGATGCTAACTCAGCAATAATGGGGCAGCTCCTATCCAGCAGTGCACTGGACATTTCAGGTTCAGCTTCTCCAAAGGTGGTGGCAGTGGAGAGATATTTCAGTTAAAAATACTTATGCCAGCCCGGCCGGCATGGCTCAGTGTTTGAGCATCAACCTATGAACCAGGAGGTCACAATTCAATTCCCGGTAGGTGCACATGCCAGGTTACGGGCTTGATCCCATGTGGGGCATGCAGGAAGCAGCTGATCCATGATTCTTTCTCATCATTGGTGTTTCTATCTCCTTCTCTCTCCCTTCCTCTCTGAAATCAATAAATATATATATATATATATATATTTTTTTTAATGCTTATGCCAGACACAAGTTCAAAATTGGGAAGAGACCTGAAGCAATATAAAAATTATACTCCCTCTGTCCCATAATAGTAGCAGTTGATGAATGTAATTTGTCTCATAATAATAGTAGCAAAAGAAAATAAATATAGAACGCAACATTTATTATCAAAAAATTAGATTAAACAATAAATTAAAAATAGTACTCCTAGTTTTTATTTTGAGTGTTCAGATAGTTTCTGGATTTTTCAATAATTTCGTTACTGCATTTTAAACTTTTAGGCAGGATCCCTTGGCTGCGAAGCTTTGCTTTCCCTATATGCGTGAGCTTAAAATTATTGGAGCCATCGTTCTTCATTGCTTCCAGCATAACTTGTTGAAGTGACAGAAACGTATTATCCAGTATTTCAGGAGAAATATTATCAAAGGCTAATATGGTGCCTCTTCTGCTAAGAGGAATATATCTAAGTTTTTCAAGTTTTTCTCCATAATCTTTGCATTTACGTCCACAGTTTTGTTTTTTCAAAGAATCAACATTAGCATAAGATTCTCCTTGACAATTATTTTCGGAAGCACATTTCCAAATTCTTGATATGGTCATTCTGTTGCACTTAAATTGTTTTGCAGCTAACGTAATTGCACCTTTCTGCAACTTTTCCTTTTTCTTTTGATGCATCAAGAACTGGACAATCGCCGAAACCGGTTTGGCTCAGTGGATAGAGCGTCGGCCTGCGGACTGAAGGGTCCCAGGTTCGATTCCGGTCAGGGGCATGTGCCTGGGTTGCGGGCACATCCCCAGTGGGGGGTGTGCAGGAGGCAGCTGATCGATGTTTCTCTCTCATCGATGTTTCTGGCTCTCTATCTCTCTCTCCCTTCCTCTCTGTAAAAAATCAATAAAATATATTTAAAAAAAAAAAAAAAAGAACTGGACAATCACAACTCAATCTTTGCTTGAAAACGCTTTTTTTCATCTTACTTTTACAATGGGTCGATATTCAACTGAAATAAAACAATTGATTTCGATCAGCGGATGAAATTAGAAAAATAGTTATAATTCGTAATAATTAGATTAACCTAAAAATTGAAAGATGTGTCAAAACAAATGACAGATGTCATGAAACACTGATTTTGATTGAAGGCCTCGCAATTTTGCGCTACAACATAACTTACAGCTGCATTCGCCAATAATTCCCGTTTAAATATTCACTTGCTACTATTATTATGGGACAGAGGGAGTATCTATCTATATTTATAAGTGAGATTGGCCTATAATTTCCCTTTCTTATATCTGCCTCATAAAAGCGTTGGAGAGCTCTCTCTCCCTCTCTCCCTCTCTCTCTCTCTCTTCTGGAAATGTAAGTGCAAGGCTAGTGTGGTAGCCAGCCTTCAAGATGGCCCCAGTGAGCCTCTTCCCCGGGTATTTACACCCTGTGTAGTCCCCTGCTAGCTGACGTCAGGTATGATCTGAGTAACCAACAGAATACAGTGGAAAAAACAATGTGACTTCTGAGGTTAGGTCATAAAAGCCATTGCAGCTTCCATCTAGGTCTCTGACTGTTCACTCTGGGCAAAGACAGACATCCATGTCACAAGAATACTCAAGCAGTCCTGTGTAGGACTACATGGAAAACTAACCTGTGCACACCAATTTGCCAACAAGGTGAGTGAGACACCCTGGAAGGGAGCACCCCAGGCTATCACACTGCTGACATCTGACTACAACCTCGTGAAGAGATTCTAAACCACAACCCATCCTTTCTGAAGGACCCACAGAGAGACGATAACGGATTACTGTTGTTTTAAACCATTACATTTTGGGGTGATTTGTTATGCAGCAGTAGATAACTAATAAAACTAGAATTATGTCTATAAATGTTTGGTAGAACTCAAGGGGGTGATTTGTTATGCAGCAGTAGATAACTAATAAAACTAGAATTATGTCTATAAATGTTTGGTAGAACTCAAGGGTGAAGCCACTCAAATCTGGAAATTTCCTTGCGGGAAGATTTCTGACTACTGATTTATTTAATGGTTATTGTGCTATTTAGGTTTTCTATCTCTTTGATAGAAACATCTTTTTTTTTTTTTAAATATATTTTATTGAGTTTTTACAGAGAGGAAGGGAGAGGGATAGAGAGTTAGAAACATCGACGAGAGAGAAACATCGATCAGCTGCCTCCTGCTCACCTCCCGCTGGGGATGTGCCCGCAACCCAGGTACATGCCCTTGACCGGAATCGAACCTGGGACCCTTCAGTCTGCAGGCCGACGCTCTATCCACTGAGCCAAACCGGTTTTGGCAATAGAAACATCTTTACTTTTGAAGAATTTATCCATTTTATCTGACAAATTCAATATCCTCTTTGCTTTTTAATGTCTGTATGTCTATGTATAGTTAAGCCTTTTTCATTATTACTACCATTTTCTTAATCTTATCAAGAGATCTGTCCATTTTAATTGTCTTTTCAAGAACTTTTAGCTTTATTGATTCTATCTATCTTTGCTTCTTCAACTTTGAGAGAATTTGCTATTTTTTTCCTAACTTCTTGAAATG